AACTTAGTTCAATCCCTAGAATTGGCCATAAATATTGTTCTGTCTCCATATATGCAAGTACCACTCAATAGTTATTAAGTTAATTGCTATACTGCTTGTAATCCAGAATAATTCACAGATTTTTAAATGCTACACTCCATGATGGACTGATCCTTTGATAAATACTCTCTTCCAACAACAGAAGGACATTGAAATGCCTACCCTTGTTAAGCATTTTGCAAAGGGAAGGAAGTACGAAAAGACGGAAGGAAGGAAGGAAAAGGAAGGAAGGAGGAAGGAAGGAAGGAGGGAAGGAAGGGAGGAAAGAAGGAAGGAGGGAAGGAAGGAAGGAAGGAAAAAGATTTCGAGCAAAGGGTGGTGGTACCACAGAAAATGCAATGGAGAAAGTAAACCATTTCAGTTCTCCTACTAACTATGCAACCTTGATTGAAGCACTTGAGTTCAGGTCCATAGCTCCTCTTCAATGAGATGATATGTCCTAGGAGAAAGTGTAGCTTTTAAGACAGAATTTTTTTTTGGCGGGGGGGGGGGGAGGGGGAGAGTCCAGTCATGGGGCCTAGATTCTGGGCTTGGGCACTGTCCCTCAGCTCTTCAGCTCAAGACTAGTGCTCTACCACTTGAGCCACAGCGCCATTTCTGGCTTTTTTCTTTTTGCTTATGTGGTGCTGAGGAATTGAACCCAGGGCCTCGAGCATGCAAGGCAAGCGCTTTACCACTGAGCCACCTTCCCAGCCCTAACACAGAATTTCTGAGTTGTAAAAACTTGAGAACAATTTGGCTGATGTGTGTCTTAAAATACCAGTTGACAGAAGCGTAAGATGAAAGAGCTCGTATCTCAGGAGTATTCCTAGAGCACATTCACTCCATGCATAGAGAGTAAAGAAGTGTGATTTAATGTGTATTTGTTCCATAGTACTGTGCATGAGACATTTGCTAAAAGCTTTATGCTGTGCGATGAATAAGACAGTCCTTGCTCTAAGGTATCAATACCTTCACAATGATAGAGGAATATGATGTTTACTTTTGCAAATCAAATTGACTGGGCCACATGTGCCAATGTTTGGCTCAACATTTTAAATACAATTGTGAGAGTGCTTCTGGAAGAGATAAACATTTGAATCTATAGACTAAGTAAAGCAAATTGCCCCCCACAATGTGAACAGTCCTCATCTAATCAATTAAAAATCTGAGTATAACAAAAAGTCTAAGTAAGAAAGAAGTGCTCCTGCTGGCTTAAGCTAAAATATTAATCTTTTCTGGTCTTCTGAAAAGGACCAAAATTTCAGCTTTTCTTGTGTCATGTCATCTTTCATAATGGCAGATGTCTTGGTTCTCAGACCTTCTTCTGTATCTCTAGTTTATGGGCCTCCACGATCACGCCTTTTAATATAACTGTATATTGTATTGCACACACACACACGCACGCGCGCACACACACACACACACACACCTATTGGTTCCATGTTCCATTCCCTGAAGAACTCTGACTCGCAATAATGAAGACTGCACCATGGAATTGTGGTACCAGGGGGCCTGAAACCTTCCTCCAGCTTCAGATCCCACAGCTCCATTCACCATTTCGTATTGGAAAGTATGTGTAGAAAGTGAGGTATAAGTGGGCTGGGAAGATGGCTCAGTGGTAGAGTGGTAGCCTTGCATGCTGGAGGCCTTGGGTTCGATTCCTCAGCACCACATAAGCAGAAAAAAAAGCTGGAAGTGGCGCTGTGGCTCAACTGGTAGAGCGCTAGCCTTGAGCTGAAGAGCTGAAGGACAGTGCCCAGGCCGAGTTCAAGCCCCACGACTGGACCCCAAAAAAAAAAAAAAAGAAAAGAAAGTGAGGTATAAACATCAACATGTGACTGTTAGCATTATCCCCACCTCTGGACCTCAGCTCCACCCAGACCTGAGCTCCTCCCTGCCCTGGAGTTCCTGCCATACAGCTGGCCACTCCATCTCTCCACCCAGACCCACCTGTGCATGCACCTACCTGCGCCAGGACATCCTGGATAGGGATGGATGCCTTGTGCTCCCTCTCCTGGGAAATATGGCCCCTCTAATAAACCTTAGAATGATCTTTCTCCTGTGCCTGCTTGCCTCTGCATTGTCCCCTGGGATGGACGTGATGGATTCTTACAGTGACAATATATTGTATACAAGTGGTAGATGACTTCCGTATCCAGGGAACTGGAGCTAAACAGTAAACAGCTTACACGTTGCATAACACTAGTCTACCCTAGCCTCCCAGCCAGTTTAGGGTTGAATTAGCCTACACCCAGGAAAGAAATCTGAATTCCTGTAAAGCCAGAACTGATTGGCCTCTCTGGAGATCCCTTGGAAATCTGAGAGTTTTTACTGGGAAAATGGCCATCCAGAGTCCCAATCCTTTCAAGTCTCACATCTCACAAGAACCAAATTCCAGATTCCATGGCATGGCCAAAATGCCCTATGTAACCTGGCCTCTACCTACCCTCCCACTGCAGCCCATAGCTACTTCCTCTCCTTCACTGGCTTCCTTCCATTTCCCCACACAGGGGAGCCTCTGTGCCATGGGATTTTTCACTCATTTACTTACTTATTCATTGATACATTCAACTAGTTGCTGAGTAGCTACTATGTGTCTAGTACAGCAGTAGTGCTAGGTATGAAATGTGTACAAGCTAGAAGGATAATTTTACAGAGAATATACTCTAGTCAAGGGAGAAAGAAGTAGCATGGACACAAATAACACAAATAGGCTAATTGCAGAGTGATATGTGTAAGGTCTGCTCTTGGCCATGCAGGCCCTGGCCTCCCCAACTCCTGCACAAGTCTCTTCCCACTACCTGTGTCACCTAGGTAACTGCACACCTGGAAGCAGTCACCTCCCTCTCCTCCGAGGTCACATCATCTGACGCTGGTCTGGTCCATATGACCTGCATCAACCAACAGAATATCAAAAGACATGGTGAAAGTGGGGATTTAAAGGCACCACAAAGTAGTCTTGCAGTTTGGAAACTCTCAAGCTACATAAGGAAGCCAGCTAATCTGCTGGAGAATGTTGCTCCTGCTGATAGGGCGCCTATCTCAAGATACAGAAGTGGGGCTATCTATACTGGTCTGCTTTGCATTACTATAATGAAATGACTGAGGCAGTGGGCTAAGTGACTCAAAATAGAGGTCTATTTAGTTCGCAGTTCTGGAGGTTTGAAGGCGTAGTACTGACATTGACTCAAGCTCTAGTGAGACTCTCATGACAGATGCCATGAGCAACAGACTATAAGGGAGGAAAAGCTGTTTGAGTGGGACCACCTTAAGTTTTGTGACAATCTTTTAGAGAACTAATCCCTAAGCCTGTTCCAAGGACATGAACACCCCCACATCTTCAAGGTCTACCATCTCCCACTACCACACTGAGGACCAAGCAGCCACCTCATGAACCCTTGGGGTTTACATTCAAACCATATCCAAACCATACCACCACTCAAAATAATCCAGCCAGCGGCAGACCCATCAACTAACCAAAAAGGAAGGACAGAGCCCAGCTGAACAGAACAAGAACTGCCATCCCACTCACAGAAACCTGTCTGTGGCACTCAAGAGAATGAGACAGGAGGATCAAGTTTGTGGCCAGCCTGAGCTTCCCAGCAAGTAGGCTACATAGCAAACCATGGGATATATGTTTCTTTGGACCTGGCTTACCTCACAATATAATTCTGTCCAAGTCTTTCCATTTCCTAAAGAAATAAACCCCAAGATAGGGACACAAGAGGTTTTATCTTGCTGCTGTTTTTAATGTACTTATAATGTATATGTGATTTTTTTTGTTTCTTTTGTATGTTCTTCCTCCATGGTATAACCCGTTTTCAGTATATTTGTTGTGGTGCCCTGTATCTTGTATATAGTTTTTTCTAATTTGGGGAGGGGACGGGAAGTAACAAAATGCTGAAACAAGGATACAGGTTGACCCATCATAACAACGAGATAGATGTACAAGACATTATGTTGGAAACGAACTTTACAACTTGGTGGGGGGGAGAGGGAGGAGATAGGGAGGTGCTGAAGGAAGGGATAGTAGGGGAAAAGCAAAGGAGAGGATAACAATGCTATAAAGGAAACATACTCATTACCTTACTCAGATAACTGTAACCCCTCTGTACAGTATCTCTGTACAGTATCTTTACAATAAAATATATATATACTTTAAAAAATCCCAAGCCATTTCTAAACTAAAGAATTAGCTTGGGTGTCCATCAAAGAAAATGTGATATATATAAACATCTATATGTACATACATTTGTGTGTGTAGGACTATTATTCAGCCATAAAGAAGACTGAAGTTATGTCATTTGCAGGTGAATGGATGGAACTCAAAATCATCTTGTGAAATGAAATAGCCAGGGGCTGGGAAGGTGGCTCAGTGGTAGAGCACTTGCCTTGCATGCATGAGGCCCTGGGTTCGATTCCTCAGCACCACATAAGAAAAAAGCCGGAAGTGGTGCTGTGGCTCAAGTGGTAGAGCGCTAGCCTTGAGCTGAAGAGCTGAGGGACAGTGCCAAGGCCCAGAGTTCAGGCCCCACAACCAGACCCCCCCCCAAAAAATGAAATAGCCATTGAGAAAGACCAACAATATTACATTTTCTCCCACTTGCAGATTCTCAAACAGAAGCACCAAAGGACACTCGCATTTGTGCAAAATAAACCGTGCTGGGGTTGCGCGCAGTACTGAAGAATGCACCCAGATCACATTTCCTTTGCTCAAAGAGCCGAGAGTGAAGACACACCGGAAGTGAGCAGAGTCAGTCCAGGTGAAGGAAGGGCTGGTGCGCCACCTGGATGGATGGGCCAGGCGTGCGTGGGGGGGGGGGGGACCGCAAAGCCTGAGTGAGACCTGGGTGGGCCTGGAGGCACCGCGTGCGCAAACGTCAAGGCCGCCGGCGTTGCCAGGCAACCGGGAAGGCTGGCGCTTGTGACCTCACGGTGGCACGCGTGGCCGCCGCGGGCGCGTCGGTGCGCTCGGGCCTGCGGGACGGGAAGCCTGCTTCGGGCCTATCATTCCCAGCGCCTCACTCTCCCACACAACCCTTCCCACAATAAAAGCCGGCCGAAGGAGCGAGCAGTAAAACATGAGGTGGGAAGCCCAGCTCTTTTGTTTCGTGTTCTTCTCGGGCGCGTACGGCGCTCCACCCCGACAGAGGCCCGACGAGCCGGGGAGGGGCTGCGCCGGCGCCCCCCGCGGGCGGACTGGCTTTCCCGGCTAGGCTCACCGACCCCTGGAAGGACAGGCGGCGACTGGGCGTCAGGCTCGGGGCCGCGCGAACCGAAGGCGGGAAAGCCCACCGGCTCCCCTTGCGCGGTCCGCAGCGGTGGCCGCGTCCTCGCCCTCGCCTGGCCGCCCTT